TTTATGCCGCAACCTTTCCTCTACTTCATCACAGCATATAGGGTCAAAACTGCCTTCTACAGGCCAGCAATTTTTCCCAGATGTCATTTTATGCCACTCTGTCATACATTTCTGGATTTTGCGCTGGATGGATGTGTGACCATTACTAATTTTGCAGGTGTTAGCTCCTCAGTCTGTTTGCTCAAGTTGGTTCCCATGGCAATCAGCGGCCAGTTGTCCTTTGGGCCTGTGGTTCCTTATCGACCCCTTAGTCCCTAATCTTCTAATCTTATCTTGTCCTGCTCTTTCCAATACAGATTTTTCCTATTTTAAATTTCTACTTTTTTCAATCTATTAGGTTTCGACTATTAGGGTTTGGGGGTTTATATTTAGTTAGATTTTTTGTTTTATTCTATGTTTTTTACTTTTAATTATACGTTTTTACAGTTACCAATTTTATAACTTAGTTTTGTCTTGATTTTTTATATTTACTTTTTGCAGTTCTCTCCTTATTTCCACTTTAACAATTGATTACTCGTGCTTTATACAGACAAAGACATACAGATATTTATTTATTTATAGGTTTTTCCGTTATCTACTGTGCAATTCTTTTGCTTTACGCTGCAGGCCTTTTACTCATACTGCAGCTTTTCCTCGCTGTCTCTTACAGTGGCATACGCTTTTTCCCTGCTGTCAGGCTCCACTCCTCGATAGGCTAAGTGGAGGACATCTCCTTCGAGCGGTACTTATTTTATTTTCTCTTCGACTATCACTTAGTCACCAATACTCTTTGTTTAATGCAGATTTATAGAACATACACTAAATGCATCCACCACTCCGGGTGGCTGCCTTCTCGGACTGTGTCAATCGTCTGACCGGTCTGTCCCTAATCCTCTGTCAATCGTCTAATCAGAATATAACTTGATATGATTAACCCAGTTATACACAAAATAATCCAAGCACCAATCAATACCTTAAAAATGCATTCATTTATTTTATCCATACATTCACATACACATACCTTTTGGACCGTTCTCCAGCTTATTCTGCTATTTCCTACGTTATTTTATGTATAATAATTTTAGAAAGCTAGGTTCTTTTAGGAGAACTTTTTGGTACCTTCAGACACAAGCTGCCGCTGGAGGCCGGTTCCCCACAAATTTGGAGAATTAAAACAAATTTGTATCTCACCTGTAATTTGGTGGATAGTGGGCCCTTGGGGGTTCCTGGCCCCCAACCGGTGCTCGCAGTCGTCAGGCGCCGAGCTTCCTCCTGGCTGGGTCGCCAAAATGTCGTGGATGTCCTCCTGACGACATAAAATTTAAGACTAAAACATAAGACTTAGCACAATTCACTAAGTTCGTGGAAAAGCAGTTGAAAAATCTCCAACAGTGGTCAAAAAGAAGCAGAGGCAGCTGGGTCTCGGTCCAGTATGGTTTATTGCAGCAATACAAGTCCACCACACATGAGATGTTAACCAGGCTAACATCTGCCCTATTGAGAAAGTGGTCTGCTTATATACAATCCCTCGGGACTCGGAGACTCCTCCCCGAGCCCCTCCTATTATGACGTTATTTCAGGCCCTCTTCCACCGGTATCTCTGTTATCTTTTTTCATATCGGTGGAAATTCGTCTAGAGTGCATATTTTTTAAAATGGGCGTCTTAGCCCCACCTTCCTGTTTACACGTCATTGCTTATTCTGGCCAATGTCATGGTTTCTAAGATGATACACGCCCCCTACCTTTCTTTCTTTGGTAACTGCTCTTGTAGGGTGATACACGTTCTGTTTGCCTTTTGTCCCTTAAGGTATGGTACATGTTTACGTGGCTGTTCCTTTTACCTACAGATATGCATTGTACGTCCAGATATGCATTGACCTTTAGACATTGTATGTGCTTACACAACTGTTTTCTTGCACCTACAGGCAATTAGGTAAGGTTTAGCCTCTGGACCAAGTTCTTCCACATCACACATTATTTTCTCATACAACCTCCATCCATCCATCCATTATCAATACCGCTTATTCCCTGTTGGGGTCGCGGGGGGAACTGGAGCCTATCCCAGTGGTCAACGGGCAAGAGGCAGGGTACACCCTGGACAGTCCGCCAGTCCATCGCAGGGCCACACATAGGACATACAAGGACAAACAACCACTCACACTCACATTCAGTCCTAAGGGCAATTTCCCCAATCTCCAATAAGCCTAACATGCAGGTTTTTGGACTGTGGGAGGAAGCCGGAGAACCCGGAGAGAACCCACGCAGACACGGGGAGAACATGCAAACTCCACCCAGAAAGGTCCTGGTTCCCCTGGGATTCGAACCCAGAACCCTTTTGCTGGGAGGCGACAGTGCTAACCACCACACCACCTTGCCGCTACTCATACAACCTCATCTTGATATATGTTTAAGGCACACCATTAATCATTGTGATAAGAATATATTCATTGCGAGATATTGATCCACTACACCACCTCCACCACGTTTTGTTGCGTAATGTGAACCGTGAGGATGGGGGACTGTGGTGAAGCACTGCTTGAATGCGGTGTCGGCCTGTGGGGACCAAGAAAAACGGACCCTAGGGGAGGTTAGGGCATGCAAAGTGTCATCTATGGCACTGAACCCCCTGATAAACTGCCAGTACAATATAGCAAACCCAAGGAATTGCTGCACCTTCCGGCAGTTATCAGGTATGGGCCATTAAGTGACCGCTTTAATCTTTGCCGGCTCCATCTGCACTCTTCCAGGGGCTACAATGAAGCCTAGGAAGGATATGGTAGTGGCATGGAACTCGCTCTTCTCAGCTTTAACATAAGTTGTTATCTAGAAGTCTTTTGAGCAGTTGGCTCACATGAATTTTGTGGCTGTCCATGTTCGGTAAGTAAATCAATATGTCGTCTAGGTGCACGTACACAAAGTGGTCGAGGTAGTCTCTAAACACGTCATTAATCATCGCCTGGAATACTCCAGGGGTGTTAGTGATGCCGTTCGGACTAACTAAGTATTCATAGTGACCACTGGGCGTGTTAAAACCGGTCTTCCACTCATCCCCCTCTCTTATACGGACCAGGTGGTAAGCATTACGAAGGTCCAACTTCGTAAATACTCTGGCTTGTTGGAGTTGGACACCAGGGACAGGAGGGGGAGAGGATACCAGTTCTTGATTGTGATGCTATTGAGGGGGCTATAGTCGATGCTGGGTCTGAAGCAGCCGTCTTTCTTGGCCACAAAGAAGAACCCGGCTCCTACAGGCGATGAGGAGGGGCGGATGAGGCCCGCCTTCAGAGAGGTGGTGATGTACTCCCTCATCGCCTCTCGTTCCGGGCCTGAAATTGAGTAAATCCCCCCCTTACCTGAAGGGCTCATGATACCGCACACGGCCCTGTCCCTCATCAGCATAGCAGCGAGAGGCTCGGCTACCATGCTGTAGAGTAGCACGCTCAACGGACACCCCTGTCGTACCGACCTCCGCAGGGGGAAGGGGTCAGAGAGGAGGCCGTTGCACTTAACGCGACTCACAGTACTGGAATACAACAAGTGAATTCAACCAATAATCCTACCTTTAAACCCAAACTTACCTAAAGCTGTGCTCCACTCTATCAAACGGCTTGTTAAAATCCACAGAAACGTGAATGCTGCCCGAGACATGCATCTCCTTCAACAAATACTTCATGGAAAGTATTGTCAGAGATGTCACACCCCGGGATGCTGTACGCCTGTGTGAACGCAAGTAACTTACCTATCACGCGCTTCAACCTACCTGCCAATACTTTTGCGAAGACTTTATAATCAGTGTTGAGGAGACTTATAGGCCTGTAATTGGCCAGGCTTTCTCGATCACCTTTCTTAAAGATTAGGGTCACTATGCCTCGAGCAAAGGAGTCTGAAACTCTCCCTTTACTCTCAACGTCGTGAAACAGCACGTGGAGAATGGGGGCTAACCGGTGAGCAAAGCTGTTGTAGAACTCAGCGGTCAGGCCATCCTCTCCAGGGCTTTTTTTGATTGTTCAGCCCCTTGATGGCCGCAGTAATTTCATCTAGTGAGATGGGCTCGTTGCACTTGTCAGCGTCACCAGAGCTAAGTCTTGCCTCGAGCGCATCTAGTGCCAGACTCACACTGACCTCACTCACCCCCTCACTGTTTAATAAATCTGAGTAAAAGGTACTTACCAACCCCAATATCTTACCTGTATCACTCTCTACCCTACCTGATTCTTTAACAATCCCTCCATATACAACTTGCCTTGCCTAGCCTTCTCAAGGCCAAAAAAGTACCCAGTAGAGCGTTCCCCCTCCACTGCGTACTGAGCTTTGGCCGTGAGCACAGCCCCCCTAGCCCGACTCGTCTGCATGTTCCGGAGCTACTCCTCCAGCTCCAGTTACTCCGGGTCCACAGAGCCCAGCCCGGATGACGCAGTGAGTACCTGGAGGCGGTCCCGGATAGTTTTTTCCGCGACAGACTCCTCCCACCTCCTCTTCTTACTGTGGCGGAGGCACAGTTTTTTTATTCTGGCTTTCGTCTGAAGTGAATGATAGATTGGTGGGATCAATTTCACATTCAAGCCCATCGAATAATCTTTCTACTTTTTTTTATGAACAGGGTGTTATTTAGGACCCAGACCCCCCCCCCTTCCTTTTCCCACCCAGGAAGTCGAGGTTTACAGAGAGATGGTAGTGGTCGCTCCAGCCCACCCATGTGTAGGCTGCGCCACTGATATATTTCCACACTGCGCTGGATACAAAACAGGCTCCTCCAGACCTCGGAGAGATCACAATTTACAGCTGCTTTAACCAGGAAGGTTCTGCTTGAGTCGTACCTGTATGTTTTGTTGGGACCAACATCAAGTTTTGAGAGAGCTACGTCTAAGTCGCCAATTAAGATGGTTGATGAATTGACGTCTGAAAACACATTATTAAAGAAATTTTTCCTCTCGGCCACATAATTCGGTGCATGGATGTTAATGAGCCTGGTATTTCTTGCACCACGCAAAAAATCTATCACAATAAAGCGACCTTGAGGGTCAGCGTTGACGAGGAACGAAGTACCCAGAGCGCCCGGCTTGAGCCCAGGGCGCAGTGCAGTTCATGACCCGCATCGCCTCCACTCTGCGCACTTGCTCAGCCTCCCACCCCGTCTCCTGGATGCACAGCACGTCCCAGGTGGTGTTGAGGATCCCACTGTGCATCCGGACCCCGCTCCTCAAACCACATGCGTTGAGGGAGACTAGGGAGAGAGCCATAAGGAGAATAGAGAGAAAAATGTAACCATCATATATTTTTCCTTTTGCTATTTTTGGCACCGCCTTCACCCATATGCCCCATGTCCTGATCAGTGCTAAAGTCCATTAAGTGCTCTGTGCCATCTGCTCTTATGGTGGCAGGCTTACAGGAGCCTGCAGAGACCGGTCGCCGTGGGCCCGGAATGAGCGAGGCCTGTGACCGTTCAGCAAAGGCGCCCGCCTGCTCCGTAGGCACGGGCTCTGCCGCCCGCTTATCCTGAGCCGATCTGTCCCTCAGGGACTGAGATCTGGGCTTTTCCCGATTTGCAGCACCACGCACCGGTTCTCTGCCCCTGTTGGCTTCGCTGGCGCTACCTTGCTTAGGGATCTGGCCCTGAGGCGGAGCCATCCCCTCCGCTTCAGGGGCAGAGTGTGGAGCAATTACCACACTCATCCCCCTCCCCGGTTCAGCCCCCGCCACCATAACCTTGGAGGTGAGACTCTGCCCAGTCCCTGTCCCCTGTGTGGTTGGGACACAAGGAACAATCTCCTCGGCCCCCTCCCTCACAGGCACCTGTGCACTTGGGATTTCTGCACTGTCGAGCAGGCTTGAGGCGGTGAGGGAGGGGGCGGTTTCAGCCACAGGGCCATGACCGTCCCCTCCTGAAACTCCCTCTCCAGGGTCCGAGGCGAGCTGGTCCACGCATGTGCCCAGGTGAAGGAAGACCCTGCAGCTCCCACACTTAGGAGACCTGGGCTCCGTACACTCCCGCGCATAGTGTCCCTAGCCCCCGCACCTGTTACACAAGAAGTCAGGGCACTCGCGCAGCACATGGTCGGGCTAGAGACACCCCCTGCACACCTTCACCTGCCTGTCATGAATGACCCGAAGGTATTCAGCCCCCCCCCACAGTGTTAAACCGGACAGAATATGGCAGCGACTGAACGGTGTCGCTGAAGCGTACCTTCACGAATCTGGTGCCGTCGGCGACGTCAGTCCCCGGCCACATTCTCCTCCTCACTTCAGAAATGGCTGAGACCCCCCAGGAGAGGAGCTTTTGCAGAAATTCCACATCCTGGATGTATGCCCATGAAAGAGACCACAAGCTCGTCAGTGTTAATGTCTCCCATGGAGCCTGGTCTCACCCAGCAGCCTGTCCTTGGCAGCCTGGGACAACACCGTCATCTCAAACTTGTCCTTTGTAATCATGCGGCACGCCAGGACGGTCCCACACACCTCCTTCGTGGCCTTTAACAGCGCCATGGGGGACAGGCCCACACCTCCCTCCAATCCAAAAAAACAGTTTTCTCTTTCACATATTTCACTTCCCTGTCCTTGGTTAATCTACTTTCATCCAAATGTATCTTCCTTGAGGCATTTGCACTCACATACTGGCTTGTTCCTTCTTGGTTCAGTCCATTGTCCATTGCCGTGGACACACACACACACACATCCGCACACACACAAAAAAATATTTTTCTCAAATCCATTAACCTACTTATACATACAATCGTTATTAGAAATCAAAATACAGTTTCTGTTTATCAATTTTAATTCAATTGTTGTTGCTGACAAAAAGTTTAAGAAATAAATCATTTCTAAACTCAAAATACGATCTCAAATAGAAATTAACTGTTTAAAGAAACTCCACATATCAATACTACCAACTCCAAACAACATGTCTTGCTACTGATAGTAGGACATTAACTAGGACCAGATTTATCCTCTTGCTTTTAATGATAGTTCCTAAGAGAAGTGTATGAAATTTTCCGTCATTATTTATATGTAAAATGCAACACTGTTCAATAAAAATCCATAGTCTTTCCCTAAAATCACTTGAGTATGTGCATGACAAAAAAATGTGCTCTATATTTTCAGGCGGTTTTCCGCATGCCGTGCAGTCTCTGCAAAAAAGGTGGGACAATTTGATATAGAATTATTTTTGTGTATATTAATCTGTCTTATTTTGAAATCTGTGCTTAGAACTGTGGGTGGTATTAATGGGTTGGTTATTGTTTTCCAGATGTTTTTTGTTGATATGTTATGAAACATTTTTTTCCTTTGATTTGTTGATGCTGGTTCTTTTATAATTTTATTTAATAGTATCTTATATATTAATATTCTAGTTTTAAATTCCTTTAGTTCTAATGTTTTGTTCCCATAATAGAAGGTAAATTCTGGTCTGGTTTTGTCTTTTGTTTGGCCTTTGACAGAGTCGAGCATGGTCAGCCATTCTGGGGGTATTTGCCCTTTTTGTCGAGCATATTAGCCAGTGTGTCCAACCCCTCTCCCGTGTGGCTCCCCCCCCCCCCCCCCCCCCCCCGCTGTAGAGCCTCGCATCTAAACGGCTTGCCTGCTTGATGGACTTCTGGGTTAAGGAAGAGCGGTTGAGCCAAAAGTCCCTCCAGACTGTTCACTTTAATTTTCAAGTGAGGCCTTACCTGTTGCCAGGCCCCCATCACCTCAGCCCAGAAGGTGACAGAGAGAGAGAGACCCGACGCCGGTAAGGCCTGACACAGGTTTAGCCATCCATGTCCTCCACAGGAGCGCACTGACCACTCCAGAGCCTCATGCCAGGCATGTTGGTCCAGGTTATTGAAGTATTTTGTGAGCAATTTTATTCTGAATGCTAATCTTTTTGTGTTTATGTCAACCAGTTTTAGTCTGCCATTGTTCTAATCACTAATCAGGATTTTTCCTAACAGCACACAATACTCCAATTCCACCCGATCCTTATGGAGGCTTGAAAAACCAACAGGAGGTCTTTAACAATGAATGGAATTTATTCCGGGCACAAGTAGGATATCACAGCGCTGGACTCTCTGGGGAATGTGTCGTGGCTGTCCTCCCGACGACGTAGTGAATTTGGGCCAAGTCTTTCAAAAAGTTCTAAGTTCTTGGGAATGCAGTTGAAAAATCTGCAACAATGGTCAAAGAGAAGCAGAGGCTGCTGGGTCTCGGCCCAGTATGGTTTATTGTAGCAATACAAGTTCACCACACATGAGATGTTAACCAGGCTAACATCTGCCCTATTGAGAAAGTGGCCTGCTTTTCCCTCCATTATATCTGTTATTCTGGTTTCTACCGGTGAAAGTTCACCTAGAGTTCGTATTTTTTAAATGGGCGTCTCGGCCCCTCCTTCCTGTTTACACGTAATTTCCCTTTCCACGTCATTACCCATTCTGGTCATTCTCTAGTACCTACCCATGATTTCTAAGGTGGTACATGTCCCATACCACTCCTTTTCTAGTAACTACCCATGGTTTCTAGGGTGATGCATGTTTGTTTGCATTGACCCTTAGGTTACCCCCATATGGTACATGTCTACTTATCTCATAATTGCATTCTACAGTTTCTTGCGCCTACAGGCTTTTAGTTTGGTTTGACCTCTGGACCATGTTTTTTTCCACTGCTACACATTATTTTCTTATACAATTCTTTACCTTGATATAGGTTAAGGCACACTATTAATCATTGTGATGAGAATACATTCATTGTGAGATATTGATCCACTACAAATGCTCTCAATGAGGCCATCCCACCAAAGAGCGCCGATTAGACGTCAATCATGTACATTTATCTTCTAGGGCGAAGCTCCACCCCGTACAATGCAAAACTGGTCTTTGCAGCACCGAATTGTAATTGGCCATTTAACTCTAACGTAAACATGCCAGTTTCCTATTCACGAGATAGTACAGTGTCGTAAAAAAGTGTTGTGAATGTTGGTTGTTGGCATGCAGCTAAAGAATGTTACAACAGGATTTATGTATAAAATAAATAAAAGAAAAGGGGAAAAAATACGGGATAAACATGAAACTTTAACAGAATCTAAAAATTAATTCTTTCAATTCCCCTTTTGACATGATTTTATTATGTCAATCAAAAACTTAAAAAGAAAATAAAGGCATGCATTCATTTTTAAAATTGGATCCTAATTTTGCAATTGATAACCCCAATCTTTCCCTGTATTTGTCAATACATACGTCCAGCTGTGGCACCAATCTTTGCTTCCGCCAGGAGTTACACAAATGTATTTTGGTCCCTTGTATTTGAAAGAGCTCCATTTAAAAAGTTCACAAAAATCAAACTTTCTTATTGCACTCTGAGTTACATTAAAATGAAAAGTGTACCGACCATAAATGGAGCCTTGTGATCGTGTAACCATTTCATATTCCCCATATTCCCCCCTTAGGAAAAAAACTGTTATAACTTTAGTAAAATAATCTTGAGCTGGTCGTTTATCCTTGGACAAAGCTGTGAATGCAAATCCTACCGTTAAAGTAACCCCTATAGTTGCAATTACCAAAAAACCTTTGTTTAGTCTCCATGATGAACATTCATGAGGTGGGTTCATCTGTTGTTGTCTGTTCAGTTTCTGTGACAACTCTTTCTCCATTTGTCTGGTCGTTGTCTGTCAATGAGGTTCTTAAGTCAGTCCGAACCTCGGTCAAAGTTTTTTCTGAGGGGTCTTGACTCAGAGCACAATGAGTTTTATGAATCCAGTTACTTAACCTGTCTTCTGACAACCATACCTTTATGCAGTGTGAAGTGGCCTCTGCAACCTTGTAAGGTCCCTTCCAACTGGGGGAAGACCAATCAAACTCGTTTACCTTTCGCAGAACCCAGCTTCCCACCATGTCAGAAGGTGCTGTAGTGAAAGGACATGGCATTTTTCTCCCTGTCAAGATCTCATGTGGGCTGACGTTCAAAGTAGCCTTTGGAGTAGATCTCAGATTAAACAGAACTATTGGGAGAGCATCAATCCATGTTAATTTGGTGTCTGCTCAGACTTTAGCCAATCCTTCCTTGATGGTTATATTAGCTCTTTCAACTAATCCTTGAGATGCTGGATGATACACTGCACCAAATTTATGTTTGATCCCAAACACTTTTTCTACTTCTGCCAAATCTTCATTTGAAAAATGCGTTCCATTGTCAAATCTTATCACTTTTGGAACTCCAAATCTTGGAATGATTTCCTTTGTAAGCCATTTGATGACTTCCTTTCCTTTCTCAGTCTTGGTGGGTGTTGCTTCAACCTACCTGGAATATGAGTCAACACAGAGTGGAAGGCAAAAGATACCTGTTAGTCTGTGTAGAGAGCCCATATCAGTGAAATCAATCAAAATTTCTTTCCATGGAGCATCAGAGACAGGAACACTTCCTAATCCTGCTTTGAGTGCAACCTTTGGATTAAACTGATTACAAATTGCACAAGATTGGACAAAATATTTAGTAATATCTTTCAGTTGTGGATGCCACTAATGTTGGGAAATGAGAGCTGTTACCTTTGAGCTGGCAGAATGGCCCCTGCTGTGAGCTTCTTGACAAAGCAGATTCAAAAGTCCTGCTGTGGCCACAATCTTACCCTCATGATTTCGCCACAGCCCCTGTGAATCTTTTTGCAGCACCCTTGTTTCTCCAGGCCCGCTTCTCAGTTGGAGCAGCTTTTGGCTGAAGCTCTTTGATGTTTTGCACACACAGCTCTCTATGTGGTTTGTCACTCACTGGTGTCTGTGACATTTGCATTTGTAATCTGTTTGCATTGTAATTAGCAACCCTTTTGGCCGCCAAATCAGCTGCATTGTTGCCCTTAGCTATTTTTGAGCCCCCAGTCCTTTGCATTTAATAATTTCGATTTGCTCTGGCAGCTTTAACGCTTCATAGAGCTCAAGCAATTGATTTAAATGTTTAACAGGCTTTCCAGCTGAAGTCAGAAAACCTTTCCTTTTCCAATGACACATGTCTACATGCACAGCTTGTACTGCATAAGCAGAATCCGTGAATATATTAACCGTTTTACCTCGTGCAAGTTTGCATGCTTCAGTAAGAGCCACTAACTCAGCCATTTGTGCTGATGCTGGCTGAGGAATCATACATGCTTATCTTGTCATCAAACCACTGTGTGTTTCTTCCACGCCAGCATAAGATGTTATTAATGTCTCTGTTTTGTGATGGGCACAGCCACCGTTCACCTACTAAGTCATCTGAGCATTCTCAATTGACTCTTTCTGTAATGAAGAAATTAACTGCATTTCTTTGTTGGTTTCCAATTCATAATCATGATCTTGAATAGTGTCCATCTGTGCTGCCATGTTTGCTCCTGCACTAGTAAAATTGAAGTGTGGTTTGTTAAGAAGTTGTCGCAAACTTTCTATTCTATGAGTGGAGGGAGTAAAGGCATTCCTTGATTCTAATGCATTCACTCTGAGACGTGTGTACGATAGTTTGATTTCCGATAGTGATACGAGCAGTCTTTTGTATAGCTTTACCAATAGCTGCCA